ATATATATCATGCATACTTTGCTAGATTTGCGTGGATGAATGGCTCAAGTTAATAAATGGCTAAATTTTGAAAATTTTCTCGCGTTTAATTTTTCGAGGGAGAGCTTTGTGCAATGCCTTAAACGTCTCAAACTAAGGCATAATTATGGAGCATTTTATGAGGAGTCTAATGCAATGTTGTTATATTCGCTATAGAGTTTTTTTCGGTTTGGTGAGAAAAGAAAAGGCAATTCGGTGTTTCGACCGATTCAAGAGAAGACTTCGGATTTTTTTTAAAAAAAATTATAAAGAAATTATATATTTATATATATAATATATACAAATAATTTACTTTTTTTTTAAAAAAAAGATACTTTTATATAGCAATTTCTTTGCTGGCCGAAGCAGACCCAAAGCAAACCCGAAGCAGACCCAAATTTGGCCGAAACAGCCCAAATCTGACCGAAACGACAGTACTAGGTTTCGCTTCTCTTCAATTTTTACCTAAAATCCGAACGCTTCAGTGGAAACCAAACGAATTTGATAACATCGGTCTCATGGTTGGACCTGGAATGGCAAGTAACATATCTATGATGTCATATTTGGTTATTTCCGTTGAATAAGGTTCTAAAAATTATAAATTATAAAAAGATCTTAAATCTTGTAAATTTTCAGGGTTGAGCCGTATCAGGTGGCAGTTCACATACCAGGCTTTGCTAGACCCAAGGTTCTTAAGACCTCCATAATTGAACGGAACGGCCTGTTTCTTTTCCATATATGGATTTAGGGCGTATAGCGTGCTCCCTCAGGAGCACATTATGCAGTTACCCTCATTTTTGAACGGCTATTCAGGAGTAAGTTGTCCTCCAGAATTTTGGAATTCATTGGATGAGTATTTTCAAAGAAAAAATAACGATTTTGTGATTCTTAATGATTAGATATCATTGTTTGCAAATTGACACGGTTCTGGTTCAATTTGAAGATAACTTTCTTTTTCTTATTCATACGGATGTAATGCATATGTTTTTTTATTTTTTCTAATCTTTGATTGGTTACTAAGTTGGAGATGTTACATTTCAAAATTTCGGATCAAAAAATTTCTCTAGATAGGTATTTACTTGAGGTAGCATATACCCTGGGAGCGTATAATCTTTTGAAGGTTACATTTATTAACCGTGTTCGAAACCACGGCTTGGGCTGAGTACTTGGCCCATGCCCGAGCCGAGTACTCGGCCTGAGTAACTCGACCCGAGTAGGGCCGACTATTGTAGATAAATGAGCATAAATGAGCATTTTACAAATAAATTTCTTATTTTTGAGATTTTTTATATAATTTTGTAAATTTTTTTAAATATTACCAAGTAGGATACCTAACTTGAGAAAAGTCGGGCTTGCCGGGTGGCGAGGCGAAGGAACTTGGACCTAGTTGCCCAGCACTGTTTTTTAAGCTGTAGTTAAGGATATATGGTATTCAGTCGCCGCAAAAGAGTAAGCATACTAAAAGAGACTCTAGGTTGGGAAGGCAAAGCCTAAATTGACAAAAAATACCTCAAGTTGTTAATTTAATTGTAAATACAGTAGAGGAAATTTAATTGAATTTTTTTTTTTTAATAAATACTTTATCGTTTTCCAAAAGTAGAGGTAAATATTTGGATATATACAAAGAGGGATTCTCTTTTATTCTGAACATTACTTGCTACAATTTGAATCCCAGGCTAAATAACCAAGCTTTAGTGGGATACACTATTTTGAACATTACTTACAATAAACACTATTTTTAGAGTTTAAAATCCAAATTTTTTTTTTCACAACCACAATGATCAAAGTCGAGATGATCGATTTGAAGGTTTTTCGATACCAAAAATTATAATTTTTGGTGAGTTTTAAAGTGAGGTTTTACTCTTTTTTTTTTTTTCATAAAGCCTTCACCTTATTTTAACCTTCTAATCAAAATAATGGGTTTATTTCATATGTGTTGCATTAGGCTCATATGTTCATATGAGCCCAACATCCCAAATTGAATATGGGCCGATTTGATGATCACAGATGTCCGGTTGTGTTTGAATTTTATTTTTTTTTATACAAATTCAAATCACTTGAAATTTTACGTGTGCGTTCTTCTCATCAAGGCGCAACTAATAAAAATATAAAAAACTTTATTCACAAAAAAATAACCAAATACCCCCCAAAACTTTTTGGGGGTATTTTGGTCAATTTATTTCATGTAAAATATTTTTTTTTTTGAGATTTTTCAAAGATTCACCTATTTATGATGAACACACGCCTAAAATTTCAAGTGATTTGGATTTGTAAAAAAGAAACTAAACTTCAAAAACTATCGAACATTTGTGATCGTCAGATCGACCCAGAATCAATCTGGGATGTTGGGCTCATATTCATATGAGCTAGTAGGCTAATCTCATCTTTT